AACAATACATATATATATATATATATATATAAAGGATGGATCCGTTTACTCTAAGAGTAAGTCTACCTAAACTTATTCTGTTCAATAACTCATGTTTTACGTCAAATTTCAATGATCCAATCGTTGGATTTAAAGTTCTTAATCCATAGATCAAGTCTACAAATTTTTTAAAAATTTGAAAATCATTTGATACTTCATTTTATTAATTCAAATTGACGGATAATCATAAAATCATTTCATACATTGATTTGAATTAATGAAACGGAGTATCAAATATTTTTTAAATTTTTTTAAAATTTGCAGATTTGATTTATGTATTAAAAACTTTAAATTCAATGGTTGGATCCTTGAAATTTGATGTAGAACATAAATTATTGAACGAAGTAACCGGATCTCTCCTATATATATATATGAAGAGGGATTTTTTTACTCCAAGAGTAAATCTATCTAGACTTACTTCGTTCAATAACTCATGTTCTACATCAAATTTCAACGATCCAACCATTCAATTTAAAGTTCTTAATGCATAGATCAAATTTGCAAATTTTTAAAAAATTTGAAAGTTATTTGATACTTCATTTCATTAATTCAAATTGACGAATAATCATAAAATTATTTTATACATTGATTCGAATTAATGAAATGAAGTATCAAATAATTTTCAAATTTTCTAAAAATTTACAGATTTGATTTATGCATTAAAAACTTTAAATTGAACTTTAGATCGTTGAAATTTGATGTAAAACGTGAGTTATTGAACGAAGTAAGTCTAGGTAGATTTACTCTTGTGTTTGGATGAGGAATTTATATGGGGTAATTCATTTATTTGAAGAATTTCAAATTCTTTGAGGTGAAATGCTTTGTTTGGATGAGGAATTTACAAAGAATTTGAAATCCAATCATTTGTGAAATTCCTTAAAATAGTAGAATTTCAAATTCTCCCAAAAATAGGAGAATTTGAAATTCTTCATATTTGTTTTTCTTATTTCACCTATATATTTTATCTTATCTCTTCATTTTTTTAATTATTAGATATTCAAAAATATTTTTAAAATTGTTAAACATTATCTAATATTAATTTTTAAAATTATTAAATATTATCTAATATTAATTTTTAAAATTATTAAATATTTAAAAATGGATTAATATTTATTTTTATAAAATTTAATTTAAAAATCTCAACATATAAATATATTTTTAAAATCAATTTTACTATGATGGAATAAAATTATCATATTCAACCTAACAAAAATTTAAGAAATTTGAATTGACTCATCCAAACAAAATATTTTAAGAATGATAGAAATTGAAATCAAAGTAATTCAAATACCAAGAATTTAAATTTCCTTGAATTTATAAAATTCATCGTCCAAACACACTGTTAGAGTAAAAGGATCTCTCTCCTCTCCTCTCCTCTCTCTATATATATATATATAGGGAAAGCCACACGGTGAGAAAGATAGAGAAATGCAGAATTTTGCAGCAATAGAAAAGCAAGAATATTGATTTTTCGGTACTCAAATTTTAATATTCCAAATTCATGCTTATCCCTTACGTAGTCTTTATCACTAAGTGCATACGAGGGCTGCTTGGTTATAATATTTAATATATATTATCCTAAATAATGCGGATTAATATTAAAGTTAGTTAACTAACGATTGTATGTGGATTAAAGGATTAAGCAAGTTGCTTTTGTTTTTCTTAATTAAAAAACATGTGGCATTAGTTGTTAATGGATAGCAAAGAATCGAACTAAATAATTTACTCAATTTGATGAATTAGGTTTCTTTCAACTGTACGTATGCTTACGCAGCATTTTCTGTTATAATATTATTATTATTTTCCGAGAGTACGTGGCGGCATGCATGTATCTTTTCCTACGTACTTTCCTTCTGATATATACTATATCTCGTCTAAAGTAGAATTCGATTGCAAATTTAAGTAATCAATATTGTCAGGAAAAAGGAGAAAAAGTCAAGTAAATTCCAAATCTTTTCTTTATTTTTAGAAAGTTAGATCTATTAATTAATAAGAATTGTTTTTATAAATAAATGTGGGATTGTGAGTATATCACAAGACTCACATAATTTAATTTTTAGCCGTTGACGGTGTGGAGAAAAAAAGAGGGGATATAGAAAAAAAAAAATGATAACGATAAAAGTTATATCGTCATGTGACTAAATAAAACATTTTGTATAAAATAAATAATGGTAATTGATTCTAATCGATGTACCATAGATACTTTTAATTTGCCTTTTCGATAATAGTTCAATTTAAATTATATGTTCTCAGTTCTATTAGTGTCATCCATAGCATAATCTAGATTCTTAACCATGCAATTGGGCGATTTTGGACCCACAATATATTGAGCAAAGCAACTTTCAACATGGTAAGGTTATAGATATCATATTGAATTAGAAATGAAACTTTCAATGATGAAGTAAGCAAAAAAGAAGAGAAATGGATTTACTTAGGTGGAAGTGGGAAGATCTGGTGAGGGTAGGATTAGGATAACATATATATATTCCTTGATTCAAACACAAATATGGCAGAAGTTGGTTCCTTTGAAGCTAATCTGCCAATCAAGGTGCTGTTTATCCAAAGATCATGCGTGTGGCGGGCCCATTAATTAATTAAGCAATTCGGATGGCACTGTTGGTCTTTGGGCTTTTTCACATTTTTTAATTCAGTGAGAAGTGGATTCACACGTTACCTAGCAGGCCCAGTAAAAGTTGCTTAAGGTTGTCTATAACTTTCTATTTCCTTATCCTTCTCTACATCGTATATTTATCGGATTGGATTAACACGATAAGTATGATAATCTAAATTCAATCAATTAATTCTGGTTTGAGTTGAATTTTATTTAAAATAATTGAAATTTGATATTGATTGATTTAAATATTGAATCTATCCTTTTAAAATTAAAATTAAACCGAATCGTATCAATTATTTATTTATTAATATTTTATTATATGTTTTATTAGTTAATACAATAATATTTGATTTTATGTAGTTGGACAATTAAGTGTATGTTGGTAGATTTGACTTTTATTAAATAATTTGTTGTATCTTAAACACTCTTTTTTGGGTGTGATAGATTTTGATTATTTTATTATTATTATTGATGGAATACTATGATTTAATTAATTATTTATGTATTATTTTTAAATTTTATTTTATTATTTAATTAATGTAAGTAAATTATACTTAAATATGTAATTTACATTTTTATGATAATATTATATTATTATCTATTAATTTTGAAACAAAATTATGTTTATTTTAATTTTTTAAAAGTTTTTTTTTAATTTAATATCGGATGACTCATAAGGAACCAACCTCTTCAATATTTTATTAAAAGAAATTTAAAAACTATACTTATATCAATTAACAAAATACTATTTTAATCCTTATAATTTCAATTACTTTCTCTTTTAGTCCCTATAGTTTAAAATAGATAATTTTAGTATCTATATTTATATTTTTCGATTTTTTTAGTCTTTATAGCTTAAAATATATATTTTTTTAGTTTCTATACATGCAATTTTTTAATCCTTTTAGTCCATATCATTATTTTTATAATGTTTCCTATTTTGTGTTGACATGA